TCTGGGAACTTTCTCTCTATTGATTCTGCCATCAGAAGAGGCAGGCCACTCTCTACCTCTCTGTCTGCTTCACATTCTGGTTGACAAGTCACATGGAGCCACGCTAATGGCAGCCAGAGCTCTGGAGATGCGTCTACCGCCATTGGATCCACAGGACTTTCCACCTACTGGCCTGTGATCTTCCTGCAATCGGCATCATTGCATGTGCTGTGTGAGTCTGAAGAGGAATTCAAGGGCTAATATTGGAGTTATAGGCTAATATTGAGCTATGGACTTGATCTGGACTGGGCTAGGATGTTTTATTGATGCATAATTACTTCTTGATATAAAATTCCCTCTTACACATATATGAGTGTCAATGAATTTGTCTCTCATCAACCCAGTCTGACACACTCTCTCAGACGGTAAGAAAAGTGGGAACAAAATAATGGCCCCTCTCTTAAGATGGGTTCTGGAGGTAAGTGGGTTAAGAATTGGGCTGCTAAACCCAACATTGACAGTTCTAACCCACCCATTGCTCCAGAGGAGGAAGATGAGGCTGTGTGCTCCCATAAACATTTACAGTCTTGGAAACTCCTACTCTGTCCTTTGGGTCACTAGGAATCAGAATCGATAGTGAGCTTAGTTTTGAATTGGTTAAGAGAATTTTTAGTATCTTAGTGTTAAGAAAGCCCACTTTCACAAATGAATGTCGACTAGAAAATGCTGTGAGAGAGTAGGGAAAAGTCCTGCTTTTCATTCTACACCTTTTTTCCACAAAAAGCAGATCCATTAGCTGTCAGGATCGTTTATTTCCAAGATGATTTCATGTATTTTTGTTCTGAATGAGGTAAGATTGATGGACCACTCATTGGTAGACAGTGTTTGCCACCAAGTCCTCCTTCCTAATAATCTATACCTGGGACTTGTGTTTCCCTTTTCACTAGGTGTCCTGTCAGTATGTGCAGACGGATCCCAGCCATTCAGGACAATAGGCACATAGGGGAGACAGTGCAAATTATTTCTTGTAGGTGAAAATTTGAGTGAGTTTTTATATTATATATGTTTTTTTATATATAGTTGTACTTTTTGTAACTGAAATTTTGAGTGAGTTTTGTAACTGAAAATTTGAGTGAGTTTTTATATATGTTTTTAAATATATAGTTGTACTTTTTGGCATTTTCTAAATATTCACAGTGGCTCCAACCATGAGCTCAAACATCAGCACCCTGAGGAGGGTAGGGCAGGACCCTGCAGTGTTGTTTGGTTGTCGGTAGTGTTGCTGCGAGTCAGAAACTACTTTCAGAACCTAACAACAGCAACAAAACAAATCTTTCCTAGTAAGCAAGCATTACTTTTTCAAATTAAAATAATAGATGCATTACAAATGCATGTGACTACCTATGTAGCGCAACAGCATACATAAATTTAAAGTAAGTGAAAATGTTAATCATGTTTATATCTAGAAAAAGGATGTATGATAATGGGTGATGCTTTGTCTTCCATCAGATACAAAAATTGAGAGCAGATTGGTGCTCACAGATTTTTTTTTAACCATATCATGCAAATTTAAAAAATGTTATTAAAAAAAATTCAGGGAACTAATGTGGCTGTTGTTGCTAGCATCTGAGTTTCTTTATTCCCTTTGTGGGGCTCCCTTGGCTGCCCCTACCATGTTCCTGGAGTTTCACAGTTCTGTTGGGAAGTTCTCCTTGAGGGTCCTATTGAGAATACGGGTGCTCCTGAGATCAAGGGGGTGGTGAAGACCAGCAGAATATTGAATGTTGCGCTCATTTGTAGTGGAGTTCTTGGGCAGGGTGGAAAGAAGGGTCCTCTCCAGGTAAAAGCTTGCTTATAGTCAGATTAGGGTTCCTTTCTTACGCCTCCCCTGGTGGCTCTGTCTGATCAGGGTGTCAGGTTTGGTCACTGTAGGTGTCCACCTAATCCATTACCACAACGGATGGGCAGGATAAAAACACGGCACAAGGCTAATCCATGGGAATAAAATAGAGTCTTTGTCCTAGATGCCCTTTGGGCACAATGGTTAAAGCATTCAGTTGCTACTGAAAGGTGGACAGTCCGCTCCCACAAACAGCTCCTCTGGAGAAAAGACCCAGCAGCCTGTTTCGGTCAAGATCACGGGCTAGGAAACCCTGTTCTTGGGTCTCTAGGAAATGGAATCGGCTGGACAGCACCATCGCTGCTGTTGTTGTCACGGTTCAGGGACACTCAACAACAACTTTGCTCTGTTTTTCCTGTTTTCCACAGCACACATTCCCTCTTAACAAGCTACAGCCAAACACAAGCCACCCAAGAGTCACCGTAGAGTCTTCTCTGACCCATGGTGGCTCCCTGTCTGCCACAGAACACTGTGCTCCATAGGGTTTCCATGGGCTGCCTTTGGGGGAAGCAGGTTACCAGAACTTTCTTCTGAGGCCCTTGGGATGGACTAGAACCTCCAATCTTTTAGTTAGTGGCTGAGTCTGTTTATTGGTTGTGCCCCTTGGGGTTGGTTTATAAGCTAAACAACAAACCTGTCACGGTCACATTGAGTCCAACTGCTGGCTACACCGTGGGTGGCAGAGTAGAAGTGCTCCGAGGAATTTTCTTGGCTGGAATCCTTACAGAAACGGATGACCAGGTGCTTCCTCCGCGGGCCGATGGGTGGGTTCTAAAAGCCAGTCTTCAGAGCAGACTCTTTATTATCTGCCTCTCTGGCCCACCCACCAGCCTGACACCTTCATCAGGCCACGAACCTGCTTTGCCCAGTGATGTGTGCCCAGTGCCTAACTTAGGCCACAGGAGATGAGCGAATGAATACATACCTAGAGCGGCTGCCTTCCCAAAATTCATGGACACATGGATTAAAAGATCATGGACATTTTCCATGAACTTTAGTGGGATTAAAAGATCGTCAAGATACATGAAATTTTAAAAAGATCATAGCAAAGCAGCAGGTATCATCTCATTGCAATCGAAGACACATTGTGAGAGAGAGAACGGGTCTGGAAGACAGCGGAGCAATGTGAAGGTTGATGATCTTTGGGAGTTTAGATGGTGGGTGGTTTTTACTTCTTCCTGGTTTTGCAACCAGCGGAATTGTGTGTGTGTGTGTGTGTGTGTGTGTGTGTGTGTGTGTGCTGCCTCTTGACCACATAAACATTGTTTTTTTCTTTTATCTTAAAAAGAAAGACGTGGAGTTGACTTGAAGGAGTCGTGAGCAGCCCAGGGTTCTGCGTGTTCTCTGGTGGTATATTGGGTTTTCATTGGGTTGCTAAGCACAAGTTCTGCTGTTCAAAACCACCAGCTGCTCCCAGGGAAATAAGTAAAGGCTTTCGACTATTTACAGTCTCAGGCACGTACAGAGTCGCTATGAGCTGGATTTGCCTGGATGGCAGTGAGTCTGGTGGATCTTTTTCTTAATTGCATGACTGCCTAGTGCTCTTCTGAAATCAGTGTCCTGCTAGCTCCACAAAAGGTGAGCAAGCAGTGCAATCCTGCACAGATGCCCAGCACAACCTGTTGGGTGGGCCACTTGTGCTGCCGGATGGATGGAAGCATCAACCTAACCGTTCTCACTTCTCCTACAGAGCAAGAGCATGGCCCTTCTAGCACTTTCCATTCAGCCAACAAGTTGAACTCTAATCTAACTGACCCGTGAGGAGCCGGAGACCAGCTCTGAAGAATCGGGCCAGAGGACTGGGTTGTGGGCAGCAGGTGAGGCTGAAGGGTGTGGAAGCCAGCACCGAAGGCTGGTTAGCCCTTGTTTCTAACTGTCCTTTAACACCTGCGCATCCTAGAGCTCGGGGCAGCTGCTACCACCACTCGTTAATATTCACATTGGTCAGTGCAGCCTCAGCACCCCTTGGATTTATCATTAGGTTGAATCTAAAGCGGTAAATCTCACATCACTCAACCCCTGTGTTCATTGCCATCTCTCCTCAGAACACAAGCTCCCCGGCGCAGGGATTGTGTCTGTTTTGTCTTGTGCCGTGTCTCTAGTTCTAGGGCACTGCCTGGGACTAGTGAACCCAACCCCACCCTGACTCATCACAACACGCTGTGGGTTTCAGAGATGTAACTGTGTGCCAGAGTAGACAGCGCAGGCTATCTCTCACGGAGCTGCTGGTAGCTTTGAACTGCTGACCATGAGGATTGCAGTCAACGTGCAAACATGACAGCAGACAGGGCTCCTTGGTACTTAGTAGGTGCTCAATAAATATTGGAAGAGAGAGGGAGAGAGAAGCCAATCAGATGAAGGGTGGGCGGGGGTGGGGTTGGAGGTGGGGGAGGCAGCATAAAAGACTAGGAGAGGCATCTTTAATAAAGAGGGTTTCTGTTTATTTGATGGTTTTTAATCCAAACCTGCATAAAATGGGAGTTAGCTGTAGTTAGCTGAAAGCGATCCTGCGACACAAATGGAGACCAGCCCAGGCCATAACTTGCCACTTCCAGGTCCACTGGCCACAGAACCAACCCAGTAACTGAATTTGCATTTGCTGTGGTTGGACAGTCCCTGCTTGAAGTGACGCAGGGATCTCTTGGGGGAGGAGTGGAGAAGGGCTGAAATCTCTATGACAGGGACAGGCCCTGCCCGTCTTTCTCCAACCTGGGGGTGGGGGGGGTTGTTTCTCTGAAGCGATGCTGACACTTGTGAAGCTGTAGAGGGTGCCCCAGGGAGCAAGGGAAAGGTTTGTAGTGTCTGGTATTTCGGAGTGGAGAGGCCCCAATTCTTTCACTGCTTGATCTAAAATGGGGTGCCAATCCCTGAAAGGAGATGGCTTGAATGAGGATCTAAAAGAAACTTAGGCTTGAAGTTTCTGAGAGGCAGCGGCATCGTTATCATTCCCTCCTGCATGCACCCTCCCTCTGTGCACGCAACCCCCTTCTCAAGGCTCCCTCAGATCAGATCGGATCCAGGCATGCCGACACCACACCGGTGGGCCCAGGTGTACAAATGCGTGGGTGCGTGTGCACCTGCACCCTCAGGCTGCAGCGCCCTCTGCCTTGGGGCTGGTCATTCACACGTTGGTGTGCTGAGAACCCCTCGATGCGGCACTGCCTGGCAGGCTGCAGCCGGAGCGGGCTGAACTGGCCATCCGGCTGCGCCTGCTGCGATCCTCCCCGCCCTGGCTCCTCGGGGCTCGGTTGTCCATCAGCTTCACCTTCTCATGCTCCTCCTTCAGGAAGAAGTCCACCAACAAACTCTTCTCTTTCTTGATTTGGTCGCTGATGTCCGTGGGGATGTCTGGGATCATCCAGTCCACCAGCACGCTCAGGAACATCACAAGGTTCTGTCCGCAGCAAGGGGAGAAGGTGGTAAGTGGAGCCGGGTGG